CTTCTACAATAATTTGTGCGCAAACGAGTTCCAGATTTTAACTGAACAATTTTAAAATGTACGCAAACTAGTTGTAGCCCTCCGTCCCTCTGCGTCCCCCCTCAAGACGAGTACTGATTGTATATGATCTAAGCCAGGGTTTCTTAAACTATGTTCCGCGGAATCCTGGGGTTCTGCAAAGATCACTTCAGGGTTTCGCGAAGCTTAAGTAATTTTTTAAAAAAATTACTTTAAAATTTCCAAATGAAGATAAGTAATGATGAAAAACTGTTTGCATTATAGAAAAAAAATCTTTTTATATTAAATAATAATGTATAAGCCATATGGAATAGTCTAAATTTATATTTAGTCTAATTATAGTAATTATTATTAAAGTATTACAATATATGTATACAATTATTATTATTTTAATTTTTAATTTTAACATATTTTTTGAATTAAATACCTTTAACACAATATTATTATATGATTATAATTTATTTACAAATAATCTTGAAAAAAACTAAAAAGCTAAAAAAAAAAAATAGGGGTTCCACGATAGACGTGCACATCAAAAAGGGTACCATGGATAAAAAAGTTTAAGGAACGCTGATCTAAGCAATATTCTCATGAGCCATGTTATCATTATCACCTAATCTAAGGTGAATATATACGAGCGGATCAAAGCCACCTTGATTCATGCACATTATTATCAATTCTCCGTTATCACTATAACAAATAACATTTTTTGGTTGATGCTCTTATCATTTTACTATATTATATGTATTATGTGTATTATGTACAAAAAAATAATTAAGTATTATTATTGTGTGATATAACCATATATTGTATGAATAATATATAATATTATAGACATTATAATATATAATTATAAAATGTTGTATATAATATATATATATCTGTATTATACGATGGTGGTGGCACTAATGATGAATAATTTCCATGATTAGTTGTAAGTGGATACAAGTTACTCTAACATTTTGTATCTAATTAATTATAATGACAAAAATAATAAGATTTAGATAGGTACTTTGAAATTTACTCGATTTATGTTTATTTCTTCAAGAAAATACTGATATCTACTACTAAATATTTGTATGAAGGGCTCACGAAAAAAGTGTACAACGTAAAAACACATTTCAATTACTATTTGGGCTTGAAATTCAATGTCCCGAAAAATATATATTAATTATTCAAATGCCTAGATAAATAATACTTTTTCTAATTAATTTTAATTCGTTTACCTAAGTTTATAAGTAAATCAAATTTTGATATTAAATAATAAATCAAATGATCAAATGAATAGTATAATTCTATTTTTACGAAAAAGTTAGCTGATATTTATTTTTGTAACATATATGGCAACAGATTTCACCATTTTGTTTTGTTTTCTTATCCATATTGCACAATAAAAAGTTAATAATTATATAAAATAGTACTAAATGGTAACACAACAATAATAATTATTTTTTCTATATAATACAGATAATATAGTAAAATTATAAAAACATCAACCGAAAAATGTTATACAATGTTATATAGTGATAACGGAGAATTGATAATAATGTGCATGGATGAGGGTGGTTTTGATCCACTCGTGAATATATTGACCAGTAGTCATAAGTTAAATCAGAAATCTGATCTAATATTTGTATATTGTATGAATTTATTTTATTGTTAAACTGGTAAGAACCGTAACATTTTGGTCTGTCTATACGCAGTCGATTAGACCGTGTTGGTTATAATTTTGTTGTTATCAAAAATAAAATTGTTATCATATAATTTTATCATTAATTTTAAATTTATAATAAATTAATTACATTATTTTATTTGTTACAATGTAATATTAAGATATAAAATCAAAATTGTATTGTTAAATAATGTAGGCAGTAAAGTTGTTCTCAATATTTATTCCCTGTATTTATTTATTTATAATTTAGACGTGCTTATTTTTTTAATATAAGAATAGGTAGGTATAAGAACATTAATGTGACCTGCAATTAAAATTAATAGTTGAGTAATAGTACTACAAAAAATTTAAAAATAGGTACCTAAATAATATATTAGATAACTCTTTAATTAAAACACTTTTTAAAAACTTCTAACGCTTTTAAAATTATTTTTGATTATCCGAGTTGATTTAATAATTATTGTGTAGTCAGTGTAGTTGTGTACCAAAAAAACAAAGAATAATATATATGTAATATATGTACATAACCATATAAGTGAAAATAACTTGATATGAATGGGTTATTCCACTTTATTATTATTTGTACCAATATGACATACATATAAATTTAATGAAACTTAGTTTTTTTATTAAATAATTTTTTATGGGTTTTTTTTTAATTATTATTTTTATTAAAATGGAAGATACTAGATATTTCAACAGTCTGGAACATATCTTAGATAATTCATATATATTGAATAATATTTCTTTACAAGGAGAAAATAATGATTTTAATTTATTTACTACACGTTTATCATAATTAGGTTTTGGCTATGTTGTAGCAAAGTCGGGAAATATGAAGTTAATTTATTAAAATAAATATGAATGTTTAAATACTTATTTATTGTATTTTTAAAATATGAACCAATAATATTAAAATGTGTTGCGTGACAGGAGAAAAATTTAAGTACAGATTTTCGCTTGAGTGTGAAGAATTGCCAATTAAATTTATGGGCTATCCATTTATAATTAAATAACACATTTATTTGAATTTGAAAAATGGATCTCATCACAAATCTAAAAATCTATGTAATTTATATCTTAATATTACATTATAACATAATAATATTGTAATTCATTTATTATAAATTTATAATTGATGATAAAATTATATTTATGATAACAATTTTATTTTTGATAACAATAAAATGATAACGATGGTGTTGGTCTAATCGACTGTATATAGAATAATGCTCAGCATTATTTTGATCAATCCGGATTACGGATTACAATTATTTAATCCGAATTTCGGATCAATCCGTTTTATCCGGATTCACTGATCCGGATAAAATTCACAATCTGTTGATTCGGATTTCGGATCCAATCCGGCTTCATTGTTTTTGAGATAATCAGATATTTTTTCATTATTATCAACCCAAATAATACGAATTTTGGTCTCAGATCGATTGACAATCGACTCAATGTTATAAGCAGTGGCGTCGACTTGTATTTTAATTGATGGGGCAAAGTATAAAAATTTGTTAATACCACCACCCAAAAAGTTAGAGCAAAATAATGACAAGTTACATGATTGAATGATTATATTGTAAATTTAGTCATCATAAAGTCGCTGACTTCGTTCGTTATTTATCACTCCTATTTCATCTATTAAGTAGGTACTATTCAGCAATGGTGTATCCCGTGGGGGGAGGGGTTATAACCGACAGCCCGCACTATTAAGTCTATTTTAGAGTACGATTGTATTTGTACCGCTTAAAACAGCATATAATAATAATAATATAAATTATGATCGAGTAAAATGCCTCATATTTTATCATAAATCAATAATCATACAGACTGAAAATGATAATTATAAATTAGGTATTAATTATTACATATTTACCTTGCTTATTGCTTACCTACTTCATAGAAGTTTTAGAATAAAACACTTAATATCAATTTGAAGCGTATATAAATATAGGTTTAATTGTTTAAATATTAAATACGTTATTTAAATACGTAATTAAAGAAATGTAAAACAAAAAACAGTTATTTCATTTTTTAAACAACTGTAATTTAAAAAAAAATATGTTTCAAAAATGTTTCACGGGGCAATTGGTAATTAAGTAACTATCTTAAAATGTTTAAAAGATGTTTTTGCATGCTTTATAATCACTTTTAAACATTGAGAACATTTAGCTTCATCATGTGTGCGAAATAGATATAAATATCAATGTACGTCTGTATACTTGACATGGTATAAAGACATGCAGTGATAGGCGAATTGCTCTATTGCATCATAGTATCCTACCATATACAGATCGACTGTCACTTAATTTGTACATTCTTAAGATTTACTAACTAGAGCGTAAATTTATTCACCCAACCCACCTCACACCACTCAAACACCAGACACCCACCACCATAGTTAAATGAAGGGGCGAACTGCCCCATAAAAGTAAGTGTTCGTTGCCACTGGTTATAAGATGGTAAAAAAAAGAGAATACACCCGAGTTCTACATAAATCTTAGTATATTTAAAAAACTGTAGAAATGCAGGCTAATGAGCACATAATATTGTTATACATAATACATTTAATATTTATTACAACAGTCTATTAAGTATAAATTATAATTTAACATAATGCTAAAGAAATATTAATCATTTGGCTGTACTAACGTAATAACAAATTACTGAGCTATAACTTGTAAGTAGTAACTAGTAATTATCGACTATAGAGTATAGACTACAGACTACAGAACAGTGGGTACTGAAAATAAATAACATTACCTCATGCCTGGTATTAAATATTAATTAAAGTATAATTGATATCGGATAACACGTAGAACGCAACACAATATTTATTTATAGCACTTCTGAACAATAACAATACACGCGATAATAGAATAACCCATGAAAATAACAAGATTAAATACTTGAAATTTTCACCAATTGTTTATATTAGCGTTATTTATATACAGTAAATTTTCAATTTAATTTTTATACAATAATCCGGATTAAACTGATTATAACATTTGTTTCAATCCGGATCGGTAATCCGGATATGGTGCTCAGCACTAGTATAGACAGACTCGTAACATTTTAACAACATAATTTATTTGTTACCTAATTGTAAACAGCTGTTTCCATTTATTGGATTTCGAACAACGAACCACATAGAATTTTTAAATAAATTCGCGGACTATTTCATTTATACAATGCTACCAACTTTTTCGAACTGTTAACTGTTAAGTTACAGGTACTGATATAGTTCAGAATAGTTCATCAAAGTGAATAGTTCAAATAAGCTATCTCTATCACACACCCGCATTCGTAAAAATGGCCGTTTTCAGATGATTTCGCTACCGAAACACGAGTGCGGTTGTCTGGTACGCACGCTCTTCCGTCTGTTTATGACAATGTTATTTTACGTTCTGGGACGATACTGATGCTCATTTTTTCTACGGCCGAAGACGTTGAATTTTAATCGTTACTTTAGTACAGGTATACATTCGTTGATTTACGTACCATGTGAAACTTGATGGTTGTCGATTACACGTATTTTATCAATATTCATGCGAATCACGTTATGCTTGTTTCCAAGTGCAAATTTTTTATAAATTCACGATCGAGTAATAAAATACCAGTGGACGTACTTATACATTTTGCTCTTAAATATGTTTCTAAATTCGATTGTTTATTTAAACATCTGAAATTCTGATATTTTTATGTTTGTTAATAAATCGTTCATATTAAAATTGCCTATCGTGATTTTTTTTTTTTTTTAGGAGAAATTCGACACTTACAGGACTTATACAAAACAGAAGTTAATATACATATATCATATAAAATGGATAAATATAATAATAATAAGACGTAAGTATAATATATTATATAGTTATGAAATTACAGTTCAGTCATGGTAATTAATCTTTTTCGTTTGATTCCTTCAAATGTATTTTGGTGTTAAGTTATTTAGATACATAACTTAACCATATATTTTTTCCTCCAGCGATAAGGTATCACAGTTTAATTGGATCTTAAAACAAAAACTTGAAAATATTAATAACAATTTTTTTTTATTAATCAATTTATTCTGTTCAATATCTAATATTGATTTATTTTTTTCTATCTTAATGGCCTTAAGTATAATACATTTTATGTAATAATGAATAATTAATACATATTAGGTGGATTGGTTAAATGTTCGACAATACAATTATTTTTATTATTAATTTAATTATTAAAGTATGATTTTAGAATTTATCATTGTTCATAATTGTTGAGGAAATAATTCTAATTCATGTGTAAAATAAACTTTTTTATATTATTAAAGGAAAAAAATGATTGAATTTAATGAGAAACCTATGCAACTAGTAAATGGAAGATTATTGCATTATAAAAATCATCATTATAATGAACAGATTCTCAACAAGAGTACATCAACAACTAATGTTAAAGACCCTACAATTCTTAATTGTATGCATACTTATGCAATTTATCATGAAAAAAAAATACCTGAAAGTCAAGTAAATTTTGAAGATAGTGACAATGTAAAGGTACAACAAATGACCAACCAAAACCTCCAGTATCAAAGTTTTTTCAGTAGTGATGGATTAATAGTAACACCAATTCCGCTTACCAAAACTTCTCTTTTGTCTCCTTTGGTGAAAAACCCAAAAAGTTCTTCTATGATTAAGGATTGTAATGTAGGAATTCCAGTCCAACTAGATTCCCAAGTAAAGTCAAATATCAATAACGATATTTCTGAGTCTGCTATACCATTAGATTATTCTAAAAAACATTCTTGGATCAAATGCGAGAATAAAAATAATTGTTGTACAAACAACACAGATTTAAATAACAAATTATTAAATCTCTCAGTTGAAAATGGTGGATCTCTTATAATTAATAAATTAACTTCTGATAAATCAAAAAAATTCCAAAATTGTCTTCCAATTAAAGATAGAAGTTATGTGGTGTTAAAAATGGATGTTGATAAAGCAAATATAACTGGTGATAATTCAAGACAAAACAGTTTCAATAAAGAATACAGTAATAAGGGTTCTTTGATCAGACCTACAGTGGATGAATCTAAAACTCATCTTTGCAATAAAAAATCAACCGAAAATTTGAAGACTTCTTCAATGGGACAAACATCTGAAGATGAATTAGTTGTATTAAATGATTATTCAATTATACAAACAAATTATGCAAAAGAACAAGCTAGTAGTAATTTTAAGCCAAAAATGGTTGTAAATAAATCATATAAAAATGGTGGTTTTTCAAATAAAAACAATTTCAGTAAAATATCGAGTGTTAAGTGTAATACCAAATGTGATGATGGAACTAGATACCAATGTGTTTCAAGAAATCAACATTGCAGCAACACAAAACAAAATAATTTTAAGAATAGAATTTCAACTTTATGGGAAATGGAAGATGGATGTATTAGAACTGATATTTCGTCTAGTTTTTCTAAAGGATTAAATAATGTCAGTAATGGTCCATTTAAACATAAAGATAAATGCAAAGAACAAGATAATACTAAAAAGGACTGTCACAGTAAAATTAATCTAATCCCACAATTGGGCATAAATAGTTCTAATACTGTGGTTAATATTAGTAGTTTCTTAGAAAAAAACAAGTTAAATAAAATTCAAAATTATAATTCTGAACAAGTTTCAATGACACAAAAGGCTGCAAACAGAATTGAAAAAAACACACCATCTACAGGAGGCTGTATTATGAAGCTAAAACCTTCCAAAATAAGTAATTCAGTGATGCAAAGTGTTACAACTGTGTACACCAATGACATATCCGATTTGAATATAAACTCAACTTGTATACAAAATAGTACTCCAGAGAATTACAAGTTTACATCCTTAGAACAAAATTGTAATATTCAGAATCTTCCAATAATTGTAATTGATGATTCCTCAGATTCATATGAAAATTCAAGTAATATTGAAAAAGGATTGCAAAATAAGTCCATCAATATACCAATTGAGAGCAGATGTAATATAAAACAGAGTTTTTATGATAAAAATAAGTCAGCGTTACAGTTGGCCACAGCTGGTTTTTCTGGGAAAAACAAAGTTAATAAAGAACCAGTAAATTTTCAAAAAATTCCTTTAATCAGTCAGAATAACGTACCTGAAAAGTTGGATGATGATGATACAAAGCAAAATAAATCCAATAAAGAAATTACAATATTAAAAAAGACTGAATTTAACGAATTCATTATGAACAAAAATTCTTTCAAGCCCACTGAAAAATTAACCAAGGTCAAAAATAGTATTTTATCTGGACAACATAACCAACAAAAAAAATTATTTTATGAAGCCAAGTTGAAAGAATGTACTGTAAGTAATTCAGATGCAAGAATAATAACAAATAATTTAATTCAAGTCCGTGATGTAACAAAATCTGATGAAATTCCAACTAGTATTGAAAAAAGCATTCAGATAAAAGATGATGGTCTATTAAAAAATCAAAAAGAAATTTTACCAACAAGATGTGTTGATAGAATTCGATTTTCACAAATATGCAGTAGAAGATCTATTTTTCGACCAACATTTAAGACAAAATACACTTCTAATAAAATCATGAAAAAAGAAAATACCAGAAGAAAATGTAATCTTTGTGGTAGGCTAATAAAGTGTAATAGTTGGTTAACGCATTTACAGGGAATACATAACTTATATCAATATTTCTGTAATCTATGCGGTAAGAGTCAAACAAATCAAAGTTTGTCGATTAATCATGCTAAATTGCATTTTCTTAATGAATGCTATCCATGTGATCGTTGTAGCAAACAGTTTTATAATGGAATGATGTTAGTGGAGCACTTGCGTAAGGAGCATAGAGTGTTTGTGCCATTCCAGTGCCAAAAGTGTGATGTGTTGTTTGAAGAAAAGAAATGCTTACGAAGGCATAATTTGTTTGATAGTTGCAATCCGATATCTCAACCCAAGTGTATTGAATGTAATATTATATTTCAACAAAAGAAAAACTTGGGTAAACACCAGAAAAAAGTACATGGGAAAAAACCACAAATTGATTATTATTGTGAACATTGTAATGTCCACTTTAAATTCAAAGAATCTGTTAAGATTCATTTAAAAGCACGACACAGTGAAAATGCATTAAAATATAAAAAAAAAAGTGATGTATCCTACATTGAGAAAACTTTAAGAAAACATCATACAAAAGAATATATTGAAAATATAAATAAATGTGATCAATCAATAAAATTATTTTTTAATTTTAATGATTTCCCTAATAAACTTGACAGATTAATGGAAACAACTAACAGAGATATTGATGTAGCAATTGAATACGATGACAATTTAATTGAACGACTTAACAGACCGAACGAATGTGTTTTCAATAGAAACAATTGTATTGATAATACTGGTAAATTTGTAAAAATGTCTTATGATCGTATTGATTTTCCAAATGAGTATGCTTACAGTAAGAATGAATGGCTCAAGAAGTTGCTAGAGTTTGCTGATGAAACTTGTGGTATTAATTCTAAAAACATATATGAGTACGGCAAGGCGAGACAATGTACTAATAAACCAAAAAAATTATTTAACGATTGTAATGCCAAACGATTATACAATGAATTATCAAAATGGCGGAATGAAATGAGAATTTCACGAAGATTTCACAAAAAAATGCTCGTTACTTTTTCTGATTGGCTAGAAAACCCTCAAATGAAAATCAATAAAATACGTGTCCCTATGGAGATGCGTGGAAAGAAACATAACACTGTTTTGTCACCTAAGCACAACATATTTGAACTTCCAACATTGCAACGGATGCACAGGTGTAGTGTGTGCTATAAAACATTTTCCACCCAATCTCTGTTCCTAGACCACATATTAACCGATCATAAGACTAATGAACTATATGAATGCAAATCTTGTGATAAAGAGTTTTCAAATAAATCAACATTAGAATTGCACCAAGCGTTCCATACAGTCTTAGATAAATATACTTGTGACTTATGCTCAATGTCATTTATAACAGCAGTAGATTTTAAGCGACATGATTGCACAGAAAAAAAATCCCTAAAGTGTGAAGTATGCTATCTAGATTTTGTTAAACCAAAATACCTCAAGATACACCAAAATATTCACAAGAATAACACTAATTACATTTGTGAATTTTGCCCAGAATTTACGTCCTCATGCATTGCAGATCTGCAGGAGCATATCAGGTTAAACCACGGATTTCCAGCACTTGATTGGTCCAAATTTTAGCCACATTATAATGATGTAAATTTTTATGATTACCATAGGCAATTTGTTATTTTCTAAATTTGGCAATATTTAATTAATGTGTTTCTGTATACAAACAAAAAAAAATTTAACTGTAAAATTTTTTATTTTTACTATCTTCAATACACACAATCAATTTAAATTTCTATTTTTATTTCTAAATTTCTATAATACAATTCATTTTATAATATATTAATTTGATAATATATATATTTAATATATAGATAAAATGCATTGCTATTTAAGCAACTAAATAATGCATGTTGTTTGTCATATTTAATGTTCATTATTTATTTAGTAAATTAGTATTAATAATTAATTATTATGTTTTTGAAAAGTATAATTAATATGAGTGCTAGATACATAACTATTAATAAATAAAATAGTGTAATATACATAAACCATTATGTTAAATTTAAAATTTTTTTAATGGGAAAATAAAGTAATTTTATCGATGAGCTTGGGTGTAATTAATTGTTGAATTATTTTATTTTATCTTTCTCCATACACTTTTACATGATTTTCTTTGTTTGCTACCGTAATAATATATCTGCAAAGAAGATTAGAGATTAGGTATGCACTAAAGCGCTTAATTATTATTCGTACACAAACTAAAACTATTGTTTTATTCAGGGTGAGTAATTAATTCATTTATTATTATATTAATCGGCTTAGTTCTTTTTAAATGAAATGTGTATATTCTTAAAATTAATTAAATTAACCATAGTAAGCTTAACATTTTATGCAATTAAACCACTTTGAACTTAACCATATTAGAATATACTCATATAATAAGTACAAGTAGGACTATGTTCGATTAAGGAATAAAGCCAAGTATATATGCTATTCGAGCATACTTGTGTGTCATTGTTGGTGGACAAGAAATTTTATGTACATAACTGACAAAACATTTTCTCAAGCTGCCTTGAATCAATAGTTAAAACAGATAAAAACACAGTAATTAAATTTAAATAAAAATATTAAGCTAAAATCCTTTTACCAACCTTATTACAAATCTGAGTTGTATATTTCTTGCGGCATGCATATTTTATATTTTGTTTCACAAAAATATGTTAGTAAAACATTTGAATAACGATGGGATAAACAGTGTACATGACATAAATTACAAATAAATATTTCTAATTTAAATGGAAGTAGTTGGAACTTAGATGATGAAGATATCTGTCAAGAAGGATAAGCTATCTGCTCTGTTGTATCCAATATTTTGAGTGGCAACTCTGGACGGTAACTAGCAATTTTTCATGTTATGCAATCCTAAACATGAACTGGTTTATTTACTGTTGTAATACAGTGAAACCTATAACTGCATATAAAGTATTATTTCGAACATGCTGCTCAGCCAGTGATAGTTTATTATCTATGTCTATAATATTTTAATTGCTTAATAGTGAACATTTGAATGGTTTATCTGAGTATATTAAATTATTCATACACAGTACATATATGAATAGGCACAAATAGTAAAAAAAAAATTTGGGGGGGTTAAGCTCCTATTAAATTTAATAAAAAAAATCATATTTCTTATACTTGACATTATACATCATTTAGGGGGTTTGGCAGTAATTTGGGGTATAAGCCTATTTGCGCCAATATGTATATGGACGCCAGATTAGTGCATGTTGTCTTTGTTTTACAGATATAAATTACATATAATTTTTTAATTTTTTTTCTATACGACAATATCTAAATTTCTGGGTTCTCTTCCTAGTTCATTAATGATCACTTCTGGAGTTAAAGAAATGGTATAATATACTAAAAACATAGTAAATACATTCAATATGTCCTATATAAATATATATAAATCTGATTTCTAGATGAATCAATATAAGGAATATAAATACTAGTTCTAAAATAATCTTCTGATTCTTCTGTTGCTATTGTTGGCATGATATATTTGTCTTTTACTTAATATTTTAATCACAATTTTAAAATGTAGTACCTCTGCCATTTTCTAATAGACAAAAAATTGTATTAGAATAAATATCAATTATTTTTTTTAAACATGGTTCCAGTATCAGTTCTTAACTGTTTAAGAGCACTCATATTATCTTCTTTTAAATCAACTTTATCTTTAAAATCAATATTTATGCTTTTAAGTTGCTTATTCGATAGCATTCTGTATGCAAATAAAATCTGTTTCAAAACAAATACAAAAATTATTTCTGAACTATATTTAGTAGGTATATTAACTTTATAATTTGTACTGATGCATCAAATTAAGAGTGCATTACATTTTTTAACATATTGGCATCAATTGCAGAGCATTATTCCAATTGGCCATGTTTTCTAATGAGACAACATTTGTATGGAAATAACTGGACAAAATCGTTTATGGCAATATATCTTTAGTTCCATCTGGTGTCACTCAACAGTTTTAATGATTTTATGTTTGTCACCTAGGGGCGTATTTAAGGGATGGGGCTCGTGCCCCCCCCACTGTATTTTATACTTTATTATTGTAGGCCCTCTTATTTTTCACGCACGGGCACTCGGTGAAATACTGGAATATCAATATATCATAATAATATGATACCATCGATTAAACGGATTAGCATTGCTTAATACACGATGAAATAATTATAAAAACTGAAGAAATAGTTTATGCATATGCTAATAAACATTCCAGACGTCTTCAGTTATTGTAATTACAAAAATTATATTTAAAAATATGTTTTATTATAAATTTGTGTAATAAAACATTATATTTCTATCAAACATTTGTATTTTGGTTATGAATAACGACAGTTTTTTGAGGTGGAAAAGTTATAACTATGTATACCTTTAACTTTTTGTTTGTGCCCCCCCCCCCCCATAAGACATTTACAAATACGCCCCTGCTGTCATCATTATCAATGGTTTCAAAAAGTGCATTCTTACGTTAGGTGTATTGAAAAATTTTTATAATTTTTTAATGACTCCAAAGCAATTTTTACTGGTAACAAATTGCATGCAGGTGATACTGCAAGTTTAAAAAATGTGCCACACAATGTAGGTATAATGCATTAGAATAATTTGCTTGTATAATAGATTTTACTCCTTTAAGAAAAATTTTACTCCTCAAAGAAATCTATGCATTCCAATTAACGAACCAATTTTTCAACAGAAAGCCAATGAATTAGTTGAAGGCTTTGGTAAGCATAATTTTAATTGTTCGACTGGTTGGATTCAAAGATTTAGAACGAGGCATAATATTGTGTTTTCTACAATAAGCGGAGAATCAAATTCGGTCAATACTGAAATAACACAAAATTAGCTCGAAAAAGTATGGCTTAAATTACGAGAAGGATACACAGATGACCAAATTTATAATGCAGATGAGACTGGAATTTTTTACAGAATGCTTCCTAACAGAACATTAAAATTTAAAGGAGAAAAAAGTTCAGGTGGTAAAATGTCCAAAAAACGTCCGATTGTCATGGTTTCAGCAAGTATGACTGGTAATTAAATGAAACTTATCATAATTGGAAAATCCCGTAACCACGATGATTCAAACACATTAAAAGTGACTGTTTACCGGTAACATATGAATCTAACTTCAAAGCTTGGATGACTGCAGAGTTATGGTCTAAAATTTTATTAAATTGGGATTTAGAGTTAGGAAAAAAAAAAAGAAAAAATTTTACTCTTAGTTGTCAATTATCCAGCACATTGCACTGTAGCATTACGCAATATTAAACTTGTATTTTTACCCAGTAATTGTACGTATGTTCTTCAACCAATGGATCAAGGCGTAACTAAATGTACGAAAACTTATTTTCGAAAAAGTTTGGTGCTAAATATGATTAATAATATTGAAAACAAAATTGAAGCGAATATCCCCGCGTATTAGATGCTATATTAATGATTTTTAAAGCTTGGGAAAAAGTATCAGATATTACAATTTGAAATTGTTTTTGTCACGCTGGTTTCAATAATGCAATACCACAACAAACTGTACAAGGAGAACAAGAAGAAGACATAAGTTTCCCAACATAAATGAATATGTTAACCTTGATAATGATGTTATAACTTTAGAACCATTAAGTGATCAAGAACTTATTTCTTCATTAATTAACTAACCCGAAGAACCCGAGGAAGACGACAATAAAGATGAAGGTGATGAAGATGAAGAAACTGATTTATCTATTAATGCAGTGTTCAATACAGCAAAGATGTTAGCAAAAATTATATGGCTCTGAATAACGTAAGTCCAAAGATAAATTTTGAAGAACTAGAAAAAAAATGGAGCGTGATTTTTATACTAACAAAGTTCAATCTAAAATAATAGATTTCTTTAAATAATAATTGAACTAATTAATTTCAATATGTATGTACATAATTAAATGTTTTAATTTTTACTGTTTTCTATATTATACGTTGCATGAATAAATAATAATAATAATATGAATTGAAGTTACAATTTTTTTTCGTAATTTTGGTTATAATGAGAACCGGTTATTATGACCTATTTTCTTTGGTCCCTTGAACGTCATTATAAACAGTTTCTACTGTATTTTAATATTTTTTATTCGAATAATTGTGTAATATATAATTTAATACTGATTACCTCTTAGTAGTTAAAACTTAGCTAAACCGTTTACGTTAGATTAAATTCAAAAATATAACTTGCTCTAATTTGGTCAATTTTTATTTTATTTTAATATATTTTTTTTGAACTATTTTTAAAAATATATTCAAAAAAAATGGCTATCTTAAAAATTGAAAATTTTTAAATGCATACATTTTTTTTTTTAATTTTTGAATTTTTTTTCTGAAAAATAATAATATTTTTGTTTTAATTTTATACCATTCAATTAGAATTTCCATACTAAGTATTTTAAAAAAAACCGCGTTTAAATATATTGATTTCCCGTGGAGGTATTAAGGGTGATACGGGACTTATGGGACATACTGTATATTAATAAAAAAATAAGCAAAAATCTGTATTATTTAAGTTGAGATTAGTTTGGCTATTTTTTCTTCTTTTGTCTACCCTTTTTAATTTCTTGGCGATTATCTTGAACTGCAGAGTAGGGTATTCGCATCATAATGAAATTTATCAGAACAGATAT